CTTCTCTTCAGTGAAAGAGCTCTTCCTCCTAGGCTTTTTCTAGGCCTGTCTCCAGTTGTGTTCCTATTAGCTCTGTGCTTTCCTACCCCTACCTTCTCCTGGGGTCTTGGGCGGAGGATGCTACAGGTTTCCTGGAAGCTACCTGGAGATGAGGCTGAAGGAGGGTACAGGTGCCATTCTCAACCAGACCCACAAGGAAAGCAGGAGGGCTTTCCCTTGATTCAGAGGCCAGGATGCGGGGTGTCTGGACTGCAAAGTCCTGGGTAGTGAATAGGGGTCGGGGCTGTCCTCCCCTTTTCCACAGAGCTCCACTGTGTTTTGCCCTCTTGGTATCCATACTTCCCATAGTACCTACGGGGTGTCTGTGTTACCAGGGCAGAGTGGGTGAGACAAGTTCAGAACCTTACCTGGAGCCCTGCTTGTACTTGTGCCTACCTGGCATTGCTGCCCTGACCCATGTTAAGCCCTTTAGGCACCTCCTCTGCTGCTGACTTCTTTTTAGGTTTCTACTGTCCAGTCACCTTCCGTAGCTGCTCTTTAGAGTCTCTTCCATAGGAAATGCCAGTGGAGTTGGTTCTGCCTGTGGTATTCACAGGTATCCACCTGCAGTGTAAAATGGATGTGTGAGATTGGGCCTCTTGGTCAATATGTCTGCGTGCTACATGCTTGTGGCTGCCACAATGGACAACTCTGACAGGCATCATTGACTTTGTGAATGTACATGTGACATCCCTGAGGTCTAGTATGTCCTGGGATGTAGCATCACATGGAGTGCCTGTGCTGCCTGCTGAAGCTGCCCTCCAGGGAGTGGGGCGCAGCCATTCTGCTTATTGAGCCTCCCTGGTCTCCTAGGATTACTACGGAATTCCCTTTGCTACACCCACAGCCCTTGCCAGCCGAGATGGAAGCCTTGCTAGTAACCCATATTCAGGTTAGTCTGTTCAGGGGACAGGGTGGTGGGAGGGGATCTGCATCAGACTGACCTGTAGCTAATTCCAGATGTCTGGAAACAGAAGTGCTAAGAGGCCTGCTAGCATCTCATTGAGGAGGCAGCCTGGCTTTTTTTTTTTTCTGGTGGATAAGGACAGTGACTATAGAATAGATGTTCCTCTTCTCCTAGGTGATGTCACAAAGTTTGGCCGAGGTGACTCTGCATCCCCTGCACCCCCCACCACACTGGCTCAGGCACAGCAGAGCCAATCCCAGGCCCACCACACCCCCCAACAGCCCTTTCTGAATCCTGCGCTGCCACCTGGCTACAGCTACACTGGCCTCCCCTACTACACAGGGGTGCCCAGTGCCTTCCAGTATGGGCCCACCATGTTTGTGAGTATTTGTGGGATTGTAATTCCAACTGCAGGGAGCAGAAGCAGGGAGTAAGGGACATGACCCCACTTAAGAGTCTCGCCTGGCCTTCAGGAATGTTTTAGGCTGGGGGTGAGATTTAGTTTCTGTTTTTAGATCCAGCCTTTGTTGTGCTAACACAGGTCCCTTGTGATTGTGCCACCTGCTGCTTTCTGCTAAGCCAGGGGTTCTTCCTGCCCCCCCCTCCCCCTTCTAATGCCTCTCCTGCTTGCCCCACCAGGTCCCTCCAGCGTCAGCAAAACAGCATGGTGTGAACCTCAGCACCCCCACCACCCCTTTCCAGCAGGCCAGTGGTTATGGCCAGCACAGCTACAGCACAGGTGAGAGGTGCTCCCAGCACAGAGCGACATGGGTAGGACACACTTGCCTAGCTCACACATGCCTCTTGTACCCTGCCATGCTAGGTTACGATGACCTGACCCAGGGGACAGCAGCGGGAGACTACACCAAGGGTGGCTATGGTGGATCATCGCAGGCACAAAACAAGTCTGCAGGTTCTGGGCCTGGCAAAGGTAGCGTCTGTCCCTCCTTTCCAGGATTGAGGCCCAGAGTAGTTGTCTCCCCCCTGACTCCTCCTCACACAAGGCTATCCCAGAGTGCCCCCTGGAGGTGGGGAAGGCTGGAGCTGGGATCAACTGCTGTGGGAACAACTGCTTTTCCTCCTAGGAGTTTCTGTGTCTTCAAGCACCACTGGTCTACCTGATATGACTGGTTCTGTCTACAGCAAGACTCAGGTGAGGGAGGAACAGGTGGGTGTGTAGGTTTGTGGGAGGTGCAACCCACGCTGGTCCTCACCATTGTCTCTTTTGCCCTGCAGACTTTTGATAAGCAGGGATTTCATGCAGGGACCCCTCCACCATTCAGCCTGCCCTCAGCCTTGGGTTCCACTGGGCCTCTGGCCCCTGGAGCAGCTCCAGGTTATGCACCTCCACCATTCTTGCACATCCTGCCTGCCCACCAGCAGCCTCACTCACAGCTGTTACACCACCACCTTCCGCAGGATGCCCAGGTGAGCCCAGTGATGGAGGCAGCCACCCTGCCCTGGGTTGGGGGTTTTGCTCCAGTCTTGACAGCCTTCTCTCCTCTTCCTCAGAGTGGCTCGGGTCAGCGCAGCCAGCCCAGCTCCCTTCAGCCCAAGTCTCAAGCCTCCAAACCTGCCTACGGCAACTCTCCGTACTGGACAAACTGAACTCTGAAGAGGGCGGTGGGCTGGGGCAGGGCTTACCCCGAACAGGAGATAACACATGGAGCCCGTTTCTGGGAGCCCAGCACCCCTTTCTAGAATTCCTGAGACGTGTAACTGTGTCAGCCGAGCCTCTGTGGGGAGCCTGCCTCCTAGACTCGCTATTGTATGTAATGTATTTATGTATGTATTTGTAAATGTGACAGAAGTCTTGGAGGAGTGGGGTGTGCAGCTGCTACTGGTCAGGTCTGTTCTCACTCAAGCCCCTTTTCATTGTAGCAAAATAAGCCCCCACCTGCCTTCAGGCCTGCCTTCCACATAGCCCCCCCTGCCAGGAGGCTGCTAGGGGCATTTTCTGGAAGGGCTGGTTTAAGGCAGTTGGGTAATGGGATCAGGTATCAATGAAGAATCACGAGTTATCTCCCACCCTTGTAAACCATTGTTTGAGTTTTCCTCCTTGTGTAATTACTTTATCCCTCATTTTGAGAAACTGGTCCTTTTGTCATTTGTCATGTTCCCGTCCTGCCAAAGTTTGATCTGGGAATAGCAGAGATATCCCCCCTGCTCAACATGAGAGTGGCACCTGTTTGACTTCATATAGAGCAGGGGTATCTGCTTCTGGTCTGGTCTTGTCCCCAGAGACTTGCCTTCCTCTGGCTGACCATTTTAATATAATCTGAATTTGTGCTCAGAGGTCTTCAGCCAGTCAGCTCCCCCTTTAAAAAAAACAACAGATATGCTCCATGTAAAGGCTCCATTCCAGTTGTCCTGAACCAGGTGGGCAACTGCTTCAGGGTTTTCTCTTTTGCCCAAAGTCCACCTAATAAAGTTCTGAGAGCATGCACAGTCTCTGTGTGGTGTGACTAAAGGATAGTTTCGGGCAGAAGCCATCTTCATTATGTATGGTTCCAGGGACTCGGACTTCACGGGACTGAAGTAGAGCTCACAGGGTCAGTCTTCCTGACAGCAGGTTGTGAAGTCTTCAGTTGGTATTCCTTTCTTTGCTAGGCCCTTCTCTCTTGCTTTGGCCCCAGTCAGTATCCAAGGAGTGAAAAGGTAAATGGTATGGCTGAAAAGACAGCACACACTCCTGACAGGGCACAGGCAGTATTTAGTGAAGTTAACTTTGCTTGTCTTGCAGCTCCATAACAGACCTATGGGATAGGCAGTCTCTTATAGGGCCTAGCAGCAGGAATACCAGGGCAGGGTAATTACTTTTCCAAAGGAGCAAAGGAAATAATTGCAAACATGGTTCTAGGCCTGTGAGAGAATAAGTTTGAACAGCTAAACTTTTGCTTTTTGTCAACCAAACACAATCTTGATTGACAGTCAAGGCTATGGTGGAACAGGTGAGTTAGGGTGGTATGAAGTAGGTAAGTGGGACCAGGGCTAAATTTCTGCCCCAGAAAGTCCCACTCAACCATTCCCCTGGGACCAGGATTCTGACTTCCCTTAAACTAATCTAGCTCCTCCCTCTTGCTTCCAGGCCACCAGGCAGGGAGGAGCCAGGCCCATAAACTATTCCAGTGTGTCTGGCAGGAGACAGGTTTCCCTGGTCATCTTGACACATAACTGTGCTGCAACCTGGCAGGCAGCTCAGGCCTAGAGGTGTTGCCTGAGGCATTATAGCCTCTCATAACCACCCCTTCAGACTTAGCTAAATAAGCAAACAAAATGAGTGTTGCTTCAAGTCAAGTATTGGTCAAGTTGATATGCCAGGGTTGCAATCTCCCTTTTCTACATTCACCTCTAAAATCGTCGTTTCATCAGATTGGAGATGTGCTGATGTTAAACCACAGCTTGGGATCCTGGTTTAAAAAAAAAAAAAGGTAAGTGGCCCAGCCTCAGGTTCAAATCCTGTATGAGTACATGGGTTGCAGGTTTGATCCGGGGTGCATGCAGGAGGCAACTAACCAGTCTCTCTCTCTCATCGGTGTTTCTCTCTCTCCTCCCTTGCCCCCGCCCTTCCACACACTAAAAATCCATGGAAGATATATCCTCAGGTGAGGATTAACAAAAGTTTCCACAACTGAAACTAAATGGGAACTTTCACTAAACTGTGATTTCCTGTCTGCTCCCTGCTTTTAGCAGAAGTTTGGAAGGTATGTGACAATGAAAACAAATGCCCTCCTAAGGAGGGTAGTGGAGCGCACCCCTTCATCCCTTCCACTGACCTACTTGTACTGGCAGATTGTGCCCTATTTCAGAATTAAGGTTAACAAATGGCTGTGTCTTTAATAGCCTTTCTTAAAGCTAGGTAAGAATTGGGGGTATTTATTCTGCAAGGTGAGTTGAGCAGAATGTCATAAAAGGCAGGTCAGGAAGAGTTAGTTTTTGTTTTACTTTTTCAGCTGAGTCCTGGGCATAATCTGCAAGGGAACAGCAGAGATACTAAGACCACCTTTTAGTTTTAACACGAGAAAAAAAAGAAGAGGGTCATCCCATGGGGAAGTAGCAATACAGGTATATTTTATTTCACATTTTATTAGTAGACAGATGGGCAGAAAAAGACAAAATAAACCACTAAAGGGGAAGATCAACACAAAATGCATCAGAAAATCTTTTCTCATAAGTTAAACTGAAGAAAAACATCTACAATTTCAGCTAAGAAAACTATTAAAGTCAGGTGTGACCTGCTGGTTTCAGAGTAGTTGAAAATTGCATCTGAATCTTTGTAAATGTAAACCTTTTATCAGGATGGGAGGGGTGGAGAGTTAATTTTCAGTGGAGAACTACGCATTTTCCCTTTCAGTCTCTTACCATATATGTCCCAAAAAGAAGGAAACCAGCAAACAAAGAAGCAAATAATTACCAGGGAAGAGGAAAGACGGTACTACAAAAAAAGTCTGGCTAACAGAAAAGAACTCTGGAATGATATGAAAAAGAAAGGGGAAGACTGAGAAGCAACAAGGGAATCATGATATACTTTCTCCACCCAGCCTCAAAAAACAAAAACAAAACAAAACACCCAGAGAGGCCTCCACTAGAATCAAAAGGAATCTAAAAATGCAGGATTTTGAGCTCGTTACACCAAATCAGCACAAGTGTACTCACAAGGTTCTAGCCTGAGATTTCCACTCCTAAAAAATAAAGTTACAAGCGCAAGTTTTCTTTTGCCACAGGGTGTGTTCTCAAGACAGCTCTGGAACCAGCATCTGGGTTTTACAAATCAGTGAGCTTTCAGAATGCTACCTGCTAGCAAATCAACACACCCCCCCGTCTTCTGATTGTACTCTTATCAGAGGCAAACCAAGCCCTCAATAGTAACACCCCAAAGGGCTGAGAGGTACGACCTCCACCTAGCTCTCTGGCTCCCTGAGTCAACGTGCAACAGGCCAACAGGGCCTAATGGGACCGGGCTGAGCAGCATAGCACCTCCCACAATGCCAAGGTGCCTGGCCTACCCTGGGAAAGAAATGCTTTAGCAGTAAGGTGAAGAAAAGCTTAGGGCTCCAATAGAGTAAGACCAAGCTAAGCTACCAGCTGTAAACGTGTGTTGGGGGGAGGGGGGAAAGTAGTGGGTTATCAGCAATATGAGACACTTTGGGTTCCATTAGATTTGCAGGTTATTTGGAAGCATTCCTTAAGCGTGAGGAGTAAAAAGCTAGTTCCAACATCCTTAGGAGTTTGCAGTCAGTGTTTTGTTGCAAAGAGCTGCTGCTTTATGAATCTGACTGGAGTCACTAGATTCAGGGGTGCAAGTAGCCCTGGCCCCATGGGGATTGGGCAGATTCTGGGATCAGGCTCAATACTGCCACATTTGAACCTCAGCACGTTAAATGTTTTCACTTAATACTAGACCAAACTTCAGGGGCCAAATAGGGTTGCTGGGAATTATTAGCAAATGTTTGGAGAGTTTGGAGAGGGAATGAAAACCCTGAGATCAGAAAGGAAGGAGGAGCTAAGGAAGTAAGCATCACCTACTCTGTCCTAGGATCCATCCTACCCTGCCCCTCATCAACCCTTTTGTTCTTTCTGAGCTAAGATCTGAAGAAAAGGAGTTGACACTAGTGCACAGGGATGTGAAGTAGGATTATAGTCAGTCTTTGCTGTATTTTCCTTCCAAAACCTGTGATTTTACATTGTAACGATTTTCCCCACTGAAAGAACACTGCCCTTGTATGAACTGGCCCACTCCCATAAGAAACAAAAGTCACCGCCAAGTTCTGAAGTCCCTGGTTGGTGAAGGCTGATGGATCTCAGAATTGAAGTAACACATGATTGAGACCAGAGAAATCAAAGCTGCAGCAATTGCATGGCAGGAAGATAACAGCATGGTCACCCAGACACCTCCTGCAGCCAACTCTCTTGGCCCTGCTAGAAGAGTCAAGAAGCCCCAGGGCAAGATCCATGTACAACTTCTGCTTGTACTCCACAGCCAGAGTACATTGAAAGGACAGCAAAGTCCAGGTCATGTCCAATGAGGAAAGGTAACCGGTCACTCTTGTCTCACATATATCCAGAGTTATCACTAGCTCAATGAAAACCAAAAAATTAATACATGCACCTAGTATTAATACTGAGTAATTAAAACTGGCTACTTTAAAAAAATATCCTCATGGTGAGAGTGTGTCTTTGAGGGAAAGGCTTTGTTAAATATATAAAACAGATGTTTTCTCTCCCAACAGTGGTCACCAGTAGTTTTGACTTTTTCCCCCCAGCAGCATCAACCAAAATTGGCATAGCAATTTTTAACTCTTTGTAGCCATCACTAAGACTCCACACACAGGTACTAATCCCCACTCTCTCCCCCCACTCCCTGGGGGTGGGGGCGGGGGAAGAACAACTCTGCCTTAAAAATAAATAGCAATCAAGTGCTCAGTTCTATGTAAAGTATGAATATTTATTTCAGGCTTTAGATCCCAATCGATTTCAATAAACCAAAATCTGATTTCTTTCCTCAGAACAGCTGAGGCCTCTGTTAGGATGATTTCCTGGAGGCTGAAGGGGCTCTGTGCCCTTAGGAACACATTTCATCAGTCTTAGCACAGAGCCCCTGATGCCCACTGTACCCCAGACTTAAGAATTGGAAAGAAACAAAATTCACCAACATGGGGCTGAACAAATGCACACACTAATGTAAATGGAGCAGCTAAACCTTGGCAATTTTTTTTAAAAGTTTGTTTTGTGGGTTTTCCCCCCTCTATTTTCTTTTGCTACCCAGCATATGCAGCACTTGTGAACTCCCAATGGGTTCCCAGCTTTAAACACATTAAATGTCTTGATGAAAGACTTTAATTCTTCAAGAATCTAAAAACAGACCAAACGTGTTTTGCTGTGAAGACTTTGTAGAGATGAAGTGAGGCAGGGATTTGGGTTTAAAGGGAAAGAAAAAAAAAAAAATCAATACAGTGATGGAAGGGTAAAGAATGCAAGATTTCGGACATTCTGTGGAGGATTACCTTCTCTCCATTAAGAGGTCCATAAAAAGGAGCAAACAGAGATCCATAGGGGAGTCAGCAGGAGCCGTGTTTGTTTTCCCCACCCCATGTTAGGTTTTTGCTGAGGGGCCACTGCTAGGTCCCCACTTGCTCCCCTCCCTTTGGCCTGAGATGGCAGGGCAGTACAGGGGCTTCAAAGGAGCAGGTCACGACTCCTCATTCCCAGAATCATCATCATCATAACAGTCGGCATCTTCCTCCTCCTCATCTTCATCATCAATGTCGTCGTCGTACAAGTCGTCATAAAGCAAATCTGAGCTGTTGTCATTGGAAGGCACTTTAGTTTTGATGCAATATTCCGCCAGGGTCGTGGGGACTTTCACTCCATCCTTTTCTGCTTCAGCTTTAGTGGCTGAAACTTGTTTTCTAAAGGGAGGAGGACAGTTTATGTAAGTCTCTGTCTTGAAGATGGATTTATAATGAGTGTTTCTAAATGATCAAGATTCCTTATAACTCAGGTTTCTAAACTTTTAGTACCTGCCTGAAAGCATCTGACAGACTCTACTACACCAAAGGCACTCAGCCTCTCAGGTCCATTCTGAAGGACACTTGACCTTTTGAAAAGCAGTGGATCTTAAATGTTAGCCAGAAACCACCTCAGATACTTTTAAGACCAGATTGATGCTTCTCAATTTCCCATTACTTCCCAAATCAGAATTTATATTCAAGCAATATAAAACTACTTACAATTCTCTTGATATGCCATGCTGTTACACACCTGTGTTTTAGCAAACGTTTCTCCTTTGAAGAGGCTTTTTCTTCCCCCTTTTACTGGAAAAATTCTTATTTATGAAGAATAATCTCTCCTAGGAACTCCATAGCATTATATATTCCTTTCACTGTATCTTGTTTAAACTTCTATAATTGCACTCATGGTCATTTGTTTGCTACATGAGCTCCCCAGGGAGAAAGACTGTACAGTTTAAGGACCTAGCAGTGTACCTGACACAATGCTGGTGCATAAAAAATGTTGAAAGAATAAAAGAATGAGATAAAGGAAACCCTTAAATTAAGCAATATGAAGAATATAAATACCTTGGGAATAGTCAAGCATTCTTCACTTACTAAATCCTACCTTTTTTTGAACATCAGGCTCCAACCCTGTTTTTTATGAAGCACTCCCATCTTTGAATCCTCAATCTACTCCCATTCCTCTAAGTCTCTATAGGTCCTTACAATTTATACTAATTATCTTCAATCTTTGATGTATACTAGTCACCTAGGTGGCTGATAAAAACAAAACACAGGTGTCTACATTCTATCCATCCCTGTAATCTCATTAAATGTCTGGATTGGGGTTCTGAAGGTGTTTCCAGTGAGCAGAAAACAGAACTGCTAATCTACATTATTCAGGATTAGATGACATGCATTTCTCTGCATGTTTTTTATTTTAATATCACATGGTCTACTTCTTGTCACTCAGAGACGAACTTAAATATCACCTTAGAGGAGGCTTGTTCTGACAACAGAATTTAAAGCAACCATCTCATCACTCCCTCACATTATCCTACCACTATCTAGTCCTTTTTTCTTTTGATGATCTTCCTCATTTGTGTCATGCTGACCAGATTTATAGAGAGGGACTCTATTTGTATAAATTCTAGTGCTTACTATAAACTATGCAAATAATGTGCTGGAACCGTCCTTGGGGTATATAAAAATGCAGTTGTATTAAGGTGAATTAGATTTATTGCAGTTCAAGTACCAATCTTGGGTAGTTACGAAAACCTTATGTCCTACTCAGGAAAGGATCGAGAGCCTAATACCGTCTACTTTTTCCCCCTTTTATATAGAAAAACTAAAGACCCAAAAAATTAGCCGATAAAAGGTCATGTGAGGGGTGGCAGAGCTAGTAGTAGATTCCAAGTCTCCCGATTCTTATTCTACGATTCTGTTAAACCATATACTAATGTTGCTGATGATGATACCCAGAAGAACAATAGGGCTTCATTAATAAAAATTTTGAAAACAAAAATACCTGGAATGTCTGGAATACCTTGGGTGCTTGCTACACTTAATGGACATGTTGAAAGTCCAGAACAATATAATCATCCCTAAAATGATTACAAGGGAGAGTTTCAAACCTAACTGGCTCAGAACCTAGAAGCTCTGGTTCCCAGGAAATCAGATCTGCTGCAACATTATCTTATAGTATAGTATGTCTTCTCTCAAAAGCTAAACTCATTAGGTTTAGGCACAAATCACTTCCCAAACAATAAATCTAATTGAGAGAAATGGAGTAGAGGATGAAGCTCAATTTAAACCCCTGGTTCTAGGATATTTCTTTGGTTCTAGGTATAAAAAGACTTGAAGTTCTCAAACCAAAGACAAAGCACCTTACCTAATGATTTCAGCGTATTCTTTGTCTTTTCCTTTACTGTCCCTCCATTTCCTGAACATAACTGAAGCATCCACATTGGCTGGAGAGAAGGTGTTGGGCTCATTAAGCAATGAGATTACACTTAACAGGATCGTCCTAGAAACAAGAAAAAAGAGTCAGCTACAAAGGATATATTCACAGGATACAAAAGTACTCTCTTAAATTGAAGACTACAATATTTGAGACCTTAGGGGAATGGAAACAATATCAAAAAATTTTGTTTTCAGTACTCAGCTGGTTAAGCTAACTAGGACACAAAAGCAGAGGAAATATGTGAGTCTAGCATGAGATCCTGTTGCAGGGCATAAAACTGTAGAAGGCACTGTCTCAATTGGTTACATGTTCCAATCTGCAAAAAATACAGGTCTGAAAGCTTTTCAAATAACATTTTAGAAATTACAAGTACAATAGGAAAAAGAAAAGCAAAAAAATATTTAGCTTCAAGGCAATCTTTTCATGGGAGGGTAAAAATGATGCTATTCTATATATCCAATTCTAATCGTTTAGAAGATTTAAAAAACTGTATTACATACAAATGTATTTCTTTTCCATATTTCTACAAGAAGACAGATAAGCAGAATAGAGGAAAAATAATGCCTCAGTAGAAATACTTAAAGTTTTTCACTAAGCACCTACTGTGTGCCAGAGGCACCAAGTAAGATGTTGACCGTATAATAGTGAACAAATTAGATGTCATCCCTAGATTCTCAGGGCTTATATAATTTGTGGGAGGTATAAACAGGTAATTTTCATCCACAGATAGAAACCAGACACCTTAATCAATCACAGGGAATAAAGTTTCAGTTAGATAAAATAACCAAAGAGCACAATAGGCTCCAAAAATATTCCAAATTATTCCCAGGCTTTTCCCCCTACAAACTATGTGCATGTATGAAAGGAGAAAAATGGGAGGAAAATTAAATTTCTCTACCTTTTCTCATTGGTGCGAGGTTATACATTGTGTTGTTGCAAAATAGCCTTTTGCTCCTGGCCCCAAGCAAAAAATAAAAGGAGGGAACCAGGCAATTAGATGTTTGATTTGATGAAACCTTTTCCTAAAAAGGGTAAAGAGTTTCTGTTATGTCATTATACAAAATTATGACAGACACTTTCAAAGAAAAATTCCCCATCTAGTTAAAATGCATTTATCTCACACACACACCTTTCTATTAGGTTAGAAATAACTCCTTGCCCTTCCTGCCAAGACTCTTCTGGTTTTCTCCAATAATTACATTAAAAAGATTCAAAGAGACTCATCACTGCCAATAATGGAAAATAGACTGACATAACATCCTGAGAAGCAAAAGAAAAATGTAGGTAGAAAATTCTGTAAGGGTTTTTTGGGAAGAAAATATACAAAACCTGTTAGAAAGATAAGCAGGATAAGGACAAAGTATGGTATAAACAGGGGGAAAAAAAAGCTTTCATGGTCTAGATCAGCACTGCATACTTATAACTTTCTGTGATGGTGGAAATGCATAATCTGTGTTATGCCACATGGTAACCACTAGACACATGTGGCCATTGAGTGCTTTGAAAGGTAGCTTGTGCAACTAAAGAAATGAATTTTTAGTACTAAATAACTTTAAAAAGCCACATGTTTAGATGAATCATATTAGGAAATTTTCCACAGAAGTTAGTTTCACCTAGTTGATTTTTCTAACATCTTGTGTATATTATTAAAATACTATATTGGGAAACAATTTTAAAAAATGGTGAATCATCTATTTCTACCAAAACAAGCTCATTTCTACTATGTGCTCCTAAACTGAAATGCACGATGGTTTCAAAAGCATCAGGTACTGCAGGGGATTGTGATAATGGTTAACCCAGCCCGTTTTCAGTTCCTCCCTTCATCTGGAAAGCAGAATCTTTTTTTTTTCTTCCTCCTGTATAGAGAATCCGTTCCACTGGTTCAGGTGCAGTTAACATTCCCCTACCATCACGCCACACCTTCATACAAACAACCTACTTATACCCACAGCAGTAGACATACCACCAGGTGCTGGCCAAAGGATTCCATATTGTCGTGATGATGGGTTTGGGGATAATGCATGTGACCTAAGCTGGGGCAATCAGAACCCTCGTGGGAACAATCATTTTTCTAACCTAACAGCAGTAAGAATTTTTATTATTCTTGGTTTAATAACAGAATATGGAAAGCATAGAGCAGGTGGCCATCTTTGTCACCAAGGGGTGAGAGCCTGCCTAATAAGGTCAATATAGAGCAAAGCAGAATTGAGGGGTTTTTCCCTCAAAGACTACTGATGCAAATCAAAAGCGATATCCTATTCAAAATTTCCCAACCAGTATGTTGTAAATGGGTTGCAGGTTAATTATACCTATATTGATTCCCTCATTACACCTATATTGTCTTGGATCGGACCCAGGACAACTTGAGCCTCTGAAACTACTTCTGGCCAAAGGAACATATTACATCGTGATCTACATATACTATCATTTGATTTTTCTATGTATCATGACTGCAATTAGGTTTGGAGAAACTGTCATACATAGTTTAAAATGTTTATCACTTGTACCAAAATAATTTTTTTTCTAAAATATATATTGATTTCAGAGAGAGGAAGGGAGAGGGGAAGAGGTGGAGAGAGAGAGAAACATCAAAGATGAGTCATTGATCGGCTGCCTCCTACATGTCCCCTACTGGGGATCAAATCTGCAACCTGGGTATGTGCCCTGACCGGGAATCGAACCTCAATCTCCTGGATCACAGGTCAATGCTCAAGCGCTGAGCCACGCCCAGCCAGGCGGTACCAAAATAATTAAACACAGGCATTACACCTGTAGCATGGTAAACTCTGCAAGGTAAGTATTATTAATCCTGTGTTTTACAGAACGGAAAAACTAAACTGCTAAGGCAGTACTGCCACAATGCACAAAATATGCTCTCTGTTGTCGTCTTTTTTGTTATTTTTAGTTAAGTGTTTTAAAATCTTTATTCATTTTTTCTTTTCAGAAGAAAAAAACCGCAGAGGGTGGAGAGGGTTAACAATAGGTGAAAAGAAGAGAAAGACCAAATACTGAAACTATCAAATTACTATCCCCCAGTGAAGAGGTTACTCAAGCCCATTAAAGGGATTGGTTTCCTGCAGATCAAGAACAAAGGGGAAGGGATCAGGAAAACAACAAATACTCTTTCTTAGTTAATCTCATTATGTCCATATAAATTCACAGTTCCATATGAAGCTCTGGTTTTGAGTAACATAGAGTTGCATTTGTCCATTAAGACAATCTTGTGGCACCTGAACATACATTTTTTGGATTAACAGAATAGACTCTGAGGGCCCATCCCCAGACTCTCAGTTCCCATAAAGAAAACCAACATAGCCATTCTCTAACTGTGGGTATGGAAGAACAGATCTGGTTGTCGAAATTCAGTGGTGTAGTAAGTGTTTAACATGTGTACAATACAGAACAGCTCTAAACCAGTAAGAATTTGGGGAAAAAATTAAGTGTTTTCAACTTACAGCAGAATTCCCATAACCACCACCAACATTCAGAGTTAGAAATATTCCTAGAAATAAATGTGCTCCCTCCACCCCTGCTTAAGCCAGAATAAGGGACAATGGTAAAAGTCTTTGGAAAATAAAAAAATGCTAAAAGGAGAAAGGAAGTACAGACAAAAGGATAGGCAAACGCACTCTACACAGTCTTCAGGTTCATGTTGCAGATCCTTTTGCCTGCTTCAGTATCTTTGTCAGAGATAATATGGCTCTCTTCTTTTGAATAAAAAATAAGTTTGTAAACAATAAAAACACCCAAAGAATCCTAGTTGGTTTGACTCAGTGGTTAGAGTGTCAGCCTGTGGACTGGAGGTTCCTGGATTCAACTCCAGCGAAGGGCACATGCTTCAGTTGCAGGCTCAATCCCCAGCCTGGTTGGGGTACATGAAGGAGGCAACCAATCGATGTGTCTCTCTCACATTGATGTTTCTCTCTCTCCCTT